AATCCACCTATGATAACACCGCATTTTGGAGCAGTATCTGTCCCAGCCAGTTGCTCCACCCCAGCCAGTGCTACGTGTGTCTTCTCATTTTTATCATGGACACAGATGAACTGCAGCAGCTAAAATTGCAAAACATAACCTAGTCAGTACTTTTTTCACTATAACATACCCCAGGGGGAGGAAAAAAAAAAAAATCTCCATGCTGTGTTCAATCCTGAACAGGATGAGTACTTCCCCATTTTTTTTGAGGCTCAGGCACCTCTACATTAAAGTAACCCTTTCATCATGTTGCTCACTCATGAGCTAGGCAGTAAAACCAGCCTCTGCACTCCGGACCCTGCTGTGCCTGAGCCAGGCCTTAGGAAGACACACTGCGCTCAGCACAGAACTCTTCCTCACTTCACTGTAGTCCACCTCATGAAGAACAATGTCTTTGTAGCATTCCTATGTACTTTACTGAGACAGCTTTTCTATTATATTTTAAAGCCATTTAAAAGCTTCATGCCATCATTCACTATGACTACACTCAGAAGGAAAGCACTGAGGATCATTATGCAGTTCATTAAAAGCTTGCTTCCTGCTATTCGTGCTTCATCTTGCAGCTGAACTAGCAAATGCTTTTCTCGTAAAAAGCAGTGAGAAGATGCCTCTTGCTACAATACGGATTCAGACCCAGGAAAGTTATGTGACCTAAGGAAACATTCCCTTCTATACCAGGACTGTATACCATGACAATAGGAATTTCTAAGTTTTCAAGGGCCTATTCCAACTTGGAATTTCCACTGGGGAAAAACCAAAACAAAACAAAAAACCAAAGCCGCACCCATAAAACCAAAAGCCACCAAATCTACTTGAAAAATCCACTTCCCTGTGAGCATCTCTTCTCTGTGGGGGAGCTTCAGCTGCAGGCCAGCCACAAAGCAACAGACTCCAGGTTCAGAAAGTCCGGAAAATCCTCAGCAGCCCACAAAACATGCCATGGATCAGCTAGGCATTTTGTTCTGGAGAAAACTGGGTTGTATTTCTACAGGCAGGGCTAGTAGCAGGGTATGAGCAAAATCAACAGGGGTTCACAGGATGTTTTAGTTTTCTGTAGACAGGTGAACTCCAGCAAGACATTGTTTCAGCTCTTTTTCACCTACATCATCTGAGCGGAATGCAGCATCACCAACAATGGCATCTGCCTGTATCAACAGGACCCAGGAAACAATCAAGTTATGAAACATGTCTTTAGATCTGGCCTGGAAAGCTGTAAAATGACACGTAATGAAATCAAGCTCCATCATTCAACACAGCTTCTCCTCAAGGAAAAGCCTCCATGTTATTCCCTAACTGTCTTGCTGCATTTGCCATGTTTTAAATGCGGATATGGCCACGTTTAATTTCTGCACTGCATCACCTTCTTTTTTTCTACCTAAATGAGCGGTACAGCCTTGCTTCAAGACTCTTTTGGGTTTAGCTGGTCCAACTTGGCTTTAGGGGGTGGAAACAGAGGGCTTCCCAGAGCACTGCCCATCATTACCCTCCCTCACAGGGCTGACTCGGAAGAAAGAGCAAGGCGAGCCCAGCAGGGATGACAGCACACCACTCAGATTTCATGTTGCTCTGACTGTGCTACTGTATTCACCTGCTTACCAAGGTTAGGAAACTGCATTCATTCAGCATACCTGCAATCATACTAATCATGACCACTTTGAAAGGCAAGTTATATGACAACTGGAAATTCTTGGCGTCCATAACAACAACATATTTATTTATCCACCGATTTTAAGTACGTGTTACCAACAGGGTCTACAGATAATTTAAAAATGATCCCAACCAGCTTCAGAGAAGCAGCCTACATCTTCAAAAGAGCAGCTATTCATCTAAAGATCCTCAGCTTGTGATTGCTGCAGTAGAGAACACATTTTAATGAAGAAGGAAGCAGAAGAGAGATGGGCGCTGCCAGACAGTTAAGGAGCCACATCCTCACGCCTCACAGACTGCTGGTAGCGAGTGTCAGTGCCAGCCTGTCCCACACCCCTCACAGGGGTCCTACCCTATCTTAGAGCAGCTGAACAACATGTAATGTAACATCACACCACATTAACAAGAAAGTAAACTTGTCCTCATTCAGACCGATTCTGCTTCTGCTCACACGTTCCTGAACGTACCATAAAAACCTGACACAAGCCCTGTTGCCCCAGGACACTACAGGCATCAGATCACCCGCATGTTCCAGAAGCAAGTACATAGAAAGCTACGGCTGCAAACCTATGGCTCAGCTAGCCACTTAAAAAAAATTAAAAAAATCTACATTATACACAAAACAACGCTAACTGGATGATAGTTTCTCCACCTAATGCCTCTAGACACAAGCTATTTACAGCAGCCATTGGTAGAGGCTGATCGTTCTCAAATAGACGAAACCAAAACATACCCAACTCACCATGTAATCATTTCTTAGGATTTACAACATTTAAAAAATGTTGCCGCATCCATTAGCACATCACTTTCTCAGTCATCACTATTACAGTTTTTAAAATGTTGAAGAGTGGCACCAGACATGTTTTATCTCCTTGTTTTCCTTACCCTTCCACCCTTCAAAACAGTGAAACCCAAATGCTAGGTGAGCTGCTCAGGATCACTGCACTGAAGCTGAAGAAAGTATGAAGGATTTTCTCGTTACCAAACAAGCCAACATCACATCCCTTTCACTAGCTGAAACATACAGCGTGTGAGAAACAGCAAACCCAGGCAGATGGAGGAGTGCTCGACGGCCTCAAACAGAGCGATGCCCAAAAGGCTACAGTGCTCTCATCAGTACCACCTCATCAGTAATTTACTAAGCTTGCAAAAGTTGTTTGTATATTTTACAAAGGAGAAACGACCACAAAAAGCTTGCCCACATCTTTTGGCAGCTACCTAGCTGAGTAAACCCTCTGACATGTTCTGGCAAATGAATTCTGGAGACATGTAGCCTCTCAGTCCCACACAGTATAACTCCAATTATTTATTGTGAATATGAATTCATCCTTCGCTGTTGAATAAAAGCTTCTATGCAGCCCCAAAGTGCAAATCTCTTGGACTGAGATGTGAGATGGACACCGCTGCTGACCTGTGTCACTAAAACAGAAATACCACGAGCACCAGGCTTTCTGGCAAATGCAACCTCTCCCCTGCAAAAGATCTCTGTTGCTCATATTCTCCCCTACTCTCTTTTAAGTATCTTTAAAGGAGTAATCATCAGAGACTTTAACACTGATCTTTAAGCACACAGAGGTCACCTTCTTACTCACTATGCTGAAATGCTCTGACGTAGTTTTACAGCCTGAGCGACTCACATCATCCTGACAAAAGCAAAAGCCAACGCACACAATGGAGGAGAAGGGAGGGTACAGAATGGCAGGTGCCCATCTTGTCTCCACACCCATCTCAAACGGTGTGTGAGGCACGGTCCTTTTACCTGCTCAGCAGTACTCAACCCTACGGACCCAGCCCTTGGTCCGTTTTCCTCACTTTCAGTGTAAACCAATCCATGTATAAAACTTTATTCTCTGCATCACCCACCTTACAGGTTAGGGATGTGGTTCACTGCCCCTAGTGCCAGCCTTGTCCTTTTTCAGACAGTTTGCTGAGGCTAGGGGCTACTGCTGGGCTCTGGTTCCCACGTCCCCTCCTGCCACCCAAGAAAATGGCTGTGCGACGTCCGAGACATCGAGTGTGTCCCTGGCTTTGGAGCCAAGCCAAGCTTCAAGGCCAGCCATGGGCACCAAGATTTATGCTGTAACCTCACTTTGCATGCTGGCCTGTTAAAGCAACATGCTGATAATGCAAGCCAGTAAATCACACAAATAAGTGATCATACAAAGGAAAAAAAGATGTTGAAAAATTAAACCTTTGCCCCTTTGTTAAGTATTCCCACCCTCCCCACAAGCAGAGCAGTTGGAGCTAGAGAAGAGTTCAGCTGCTAATGAAGCAATCAATCTTCCTGTCCTCCTTCCCCAAACCTCAGGGCTCTGTCATTTTGCACTTTGTAATTTAAAGCCAGCCCTTGGCTTCATTGGCTTCAAACCTGTAGAAAAGCAGCACTGTGAAAATATAGCACCAGTGCCAAACTTCTGTGTAGGATATGCCATCACTTCCCACCCACCCCCCACCCCCCCCCCGCCTGGAGGAAAGGGGAACAGGGTGGCTGTTTGGGACAGGACTGAAAAGCAAAAAGAGGAGTTTCTTTCTTCGGCATTTCTGAAATGCCTATTAAAGCATCGTAAAAGCTAAAAGGCATCTAACAGGTACCTTAAATAGCACTGCTTCATCATGTAATGTGACTTAAGAGAAGCTGCCTCCCCCATGCTGAGTGTGAAATTTACTTTAGACAGGATGCCCCCCCAAGAGCAGGCAAGAAGTTGCTTCTTTAAAAACACAGTTAGTTGAAATGGATTTAACCAAGATTGGTATATTCGATCGAGTTTTGCTCCCTGACGGCAACTACACTGAATCTTTCTTTTTCATACAGTTCTCCACAACCATTTTCTACCCTCCCACCTCTCCAGCAGACTTGCACATAAGCAGACACAACCTGCTTCCATTTTACCCAGCCAGCTCTCCAATCCAACCAAATATAAACCAATTACCTTTTACAATATTGCTGTGAGCAATCACGGAAACCTGTTTACACTAGGCTGGTCACAGGGGGGGAAAAACAAACAAATAGTAGACAAGTCCACAAGGGAGAAGAAAATCAGTTTCAGGCAGCTGTTAAACTTTGGGAGAGATTTGACAGGGAGCAATTAAGAGTTTGTTTTTCCTGGTAAAAGAAAGTTTATGCTGGGAGGAGGTAGTGGACAACGAAGAACATTATGCGGGACGCGTCTCCGCACACGTTTCTGCGAAACGCGGTGCAAAAACCAACACCAAACCGCGCCTGAAGAGGAGCGAGGGCATCACCAACGACACCGGGCCACGAGAAGCCCTCAGCAAAATCCACCCACAGCGACAGAGGTTATTTAACGCCGTACCTCGACTGGGCAGCCATCGCGAAGTTCACACCGCCAAGCGTCCTCTATCCATGAGCTCTGTCCCCGGCTCTACCCCCCTGCCGAAACCTTCTCTTCCATTTGCCGGCCGCCTCCCTGCCCGCTTCTCCGTCCCCTCAGGACCGTGGCGGAGCCGCCGGCCGCCCGCGCCCCGCGGTGCCCAGCCCGGGCTGGCTGCCGCCGCCCGCGATTACGCTCATTTTGATCGACATCCGGGCACCCGGGCCCGCCCCACGGCTCCCCGCGCTCCCGGCCGGCAGGGAGGGCAACGCGGCTCTGGCACTTCCCGCTGGGGGGGAGGAAGGGGAAAGGACGACGGGGACGACCCCGCTGAAAAGCCAAAGGCCGGCTCGGAGCTGGCGAGGTGAAACCCGCCGGCGCCCTCCGCTCTTTTATTCCTCTGCGGCTTTTCGGACGAGCAGCAGCTCACAACGCACGGGTGCACCGGTGCGCCCCTACACCCCCCACTCCCCCCCCCCCCATTTGCCGCAAAGCTCTCATGGTAGCACCCGGCCTCCTTAAATGGACATGTCCGCGCCGTCAGGGCAGAGGGGCCGCAGGATTGGGCGAGCGGGAGCACGGGCGCTGCCGCCGGAGCCTATCGGCGGGCGCTGCCTGCCCGCGACCACACCCACCCGGCGCGCCCGCGAGAGCGCGTGCCCCGGCGCCCGGCGAGGGCTCGCGCCTGAGGGAGGGAGCGCGCGCGCGGTGGGTGAGGGGGGGGGCCCTGCCCTATGCCACAGTACTAGGGGGTGGGTGGGTGTTCTTACAGAGAAACACAAGAAAACGGCTGCCAGTTTTTAAAGTTTTCAGAGCAAATATACAACCTCGATGTAAATATAAATCCCATCTGGACACACAGACGTAGCAAATGAAAAACTGAGTATACTACTGAACTTGGAGGGGCTCATCACTTGAAATTGCAGGCTAAGAAACTATTTTCTTTAAAAAAAAAAAAAAAAAGTATATATATATATATTCATTATGCAATGTCTTCTGGACTCCAGTCCCGACTGCGATTTGTAGACTCACTCAGAAAGCAGCAATACCTGTCCTTCACTCTGGGTGTTCCTTGGCACAATTATAAAACCAAACTACTCCTGCAACTCCTTTCAACCAGTCATTAACCAAGCATTCAGCAGGCAAAAATATTTGCCCAAGATCCCTTCAACTTTTCTCAGCAGACTATATATAGCCAAGATTTCTACCAACACTGCAACACTACGTTTTCTGTTTCAAAGCATAACTTGTGTCAAAGTACTCAGCAAATACCGGGAGAAGAGTTTATACCCCATTCGTGGCAAGTAATAAATCATAATTTCAAAAGGCCATTTATATAAAGCTTCTACAAGTATATAATTTTAAGTACATAGTTTAAAAATATAAAAGCAATCAGAAAAAGTTTTTTTTTTCCCATTCCTTGTTTTTGCCCAAAAAGAGATGATTGTAAATATAAAACCACAAAAGAAAAAGTGGCTCTGATTATAAAGTAAGCAGACAATATCATTGCTATATCAGATAATCACAGACTCAACTGCTCATAAGTGACAGGGGATTTGGGGTGTCAGCTTGATAATGGACAATGTTATTATGAACTCCAAAAAACACACCCTCAAAAACCAACCCAAACAAAAAAAAAACATACCACCAAAACCAAAACCCATACCCAGCATTTTATGAAATCAATTGAAATCCCAAAAGTGCCAGTAAAACCACTATCAGCTTTGAAAACAATATGACAATTTTACAGCAATTAACAACTAAGGAAAACTCCAAGGGTTGGACCAAAAAAAAAAAAAAAAAAAAAAAAAGAACAAGTTATCCAAGCAGCAGACACCCATCACTGGAAACAGTAACGGTGACAGAAACCCCCCGACTCCCAGCAAAGCATATATTTCTCTCTCTCGTACACATTTTTAATTTAAAAAGAAGCTTGCAGAGTGGCTAATTAGTGCAAATTTCATATGTAAGTGAGATAGTACAGAAGGCAGCAAGAGATGGTTATTACTGTGCATGTCCTGTGGTGTGGAGGTAACAAGATTAACACGAAATCCTCATAACAACGCTCTTTAATGAGGACACCTCCAAAGAGACCAACCGGTACCATCCCCGCCAGGTCACAAACCGCAGAGGAGGTGGGTGCCGTGACTTGCCCAGCAGCACCCAGGTGGCCGCAGCAAGCCTAGAAGGCAAGACGAGCATCCCAGATTGCAGAGGAGGTCTTTAAAGAGGCAAACTAACTACCGGTAGTAGAGTTGCTAACGTTAGTAGCTAATACTTCTTATTTTGCAGCGTTTTATAAATTTAAAGCACTGTAGAAATGTTACAGCTGCATCAAGAGGAAAGCAAAACATCTCCTTTTTTTCTCTAGAAGCCTAATTCAGGCTCTTAACTCTGATTAACTTAATACCAGTGACCGTAAGACCTTTCAGCCAGGTTTGTATTATGCAGTTCGCCCCACATGGTAGAAGTCAGTTTTGTCTTTTTTTCTCCTTGGCTTTATCTGAAAAATGGCTACAATCATCTCAGCTCCAGGTCTGGAGTTCGCTGTTCTGCCATTCACTGTACTGTATGAATTAAAACTCTTCTTCAAGGTACTACAGAAAAACAAGCTAGAAAATTCCTGTCTACATTCTCTTGATGTTGCCTTCAACTGTGTCACAACCTGGAGGGGGCTTTTTACTTCTTTTAAATGTTTTTATTTTGTTGAAGCTAAACTCATTGATTTTCTAATCAGAGGATTTTTATCATTTTCAGATAAGACACAACCCCAAGGGAACACACCCTACCCTCAAGCCTCTTTTCTGCCAGGAAAGGACCAAATGAACAAAGAAAGCAATATCGAGGCAGGAATGCTATGCAGATACACCATGTGCAAGCCTTTGTCGTTAGGAGAGCAGCTTAAGGGGGATGGTTTCAGCACTTTACAATCAGAAAAAACAAACCAAAACAAAACAGAACCAACCAAAACCAAACCACTCCTGTGACTACCGCTGCTGGAGATGGATTCACAAATGATTAACTCTTCTCAGGTGAAATATCTCCCCTCTCCCCAACTTTAAAAAGAAAGTTTCAGATCCCAGATGAGTACCCCAGTCCTAGGACCATTGCTGGTCTCTCCTAATCAGCTGTCGCATTTTGGCAAGTTATTAAATAGAGATGAGGGAAGGTAGAGAAACTGAGGACAGCCAGGCTGTCACTTGGGGGCACAAGAAACTAAAGCTTCTTAAATAAATATTTCAAAAGGTTTTATTTAAACAAAATATAAATTGACAACAGGTGTTTGGATGGGTTTTTTTTGTTTGGTTGGTTGGTTTTGTTTTCCATTTTGCAGGACAGAATCATAGATTAATTTAGGTGCATGGGATATCCAGACATCAGTTAATCCAACTTCTGCCCTCAAAGCACAACCAACTTAAATCAAGTTGTACTGAGGCTGGAGATCCTACCACTTCTCTGGTCCCCTGCTCTAATTGTAATTTCCTGTATTGCAAAACGCATCTGTTGCCCATCGTTTCACTGTCCATACCTGAGAGAAGTCTACTCCTGCCTGCTCTCTACCTCCACCAAGAACAACAAACAGGAATAAAACCCCTCCTTGTCCTCCTCTTGTCCAGGAAAACAAACCCAACTCTCTCAGCCTCTCCTATGCTTTGTGCACCCCAGCCCGGTTATCCCGGTAGCTCTGCATTGCATTTCCTTTAGCATCTCTGTGTCTTTCCTCTACTGGGGAGTGTGGTCTCCCCGGTGTTGGGCAGAGGGGAGGAATCCCATGCCTTGTTCTGCCAGGTACCCTTCTGCTAACACAGCCCAGGCGATGCTTTGCTACAAGGTTACCCTTGTTGACCAGGCTGCTCAACCTGCCTTGCATAGCAAAGTCTGGGATTCAGTGCAACGTATGGGACCGATAAGAAAATAAGAGGAACTGAAGCTTTCAAAATGCCTGCTGCTTCTCTTCTTAGGGCTTAATGATGGCTTTTTAAATCATGACTTAAAAAAAATTAAAATTCCCATATCCTCTCAAGCTGACGTGTCACTCCAAGGAACTTGATTCTTCTCCCTATGAAAAGCTGTGGAAAATAATAATGCTGAGAGTCTGACAGCTTCAGAGAAGAAAATAGATGTAACTGCTGCTAGAAAGTTCTTACTAAGTATAACCCAAAGCACTGATAATTAAACATACTAATACCAGCACCAAAATTGCATATGCAGACAACATTTTGGAGGGGTTTTCCAGACAAATGCAAAGATCCTATTTGCCCTGTAGAGTTATATATATAATTATCTTCTCCAATTTCAGCTGAAGAGATTAGAAAACAGGGAAAAAGGAAAGGGAGGCATTTAATTATTTAAGACGATCTGCTTAGTTTTAAGTAAAATAATTAAGAACCCATTTAGTCTTCTTCATTTATGTCTTTCATGCAATCAATAACAAAACTCTCCTTTTCGAAAGAAGGGATACTGTGCAAAGAAAGGAAACAAGTTGAAATCTATGACGCTATTTCAAAGTTTAATCAGGTTGGTTTTTGTTTGTTTGTTTGTTTTCCTTATAACTATCTAGACCATTACAGTACTCTCAAAGATCTGTAAACTGTTGAAGAAAGCTCTACCAAGTTAGAGAATGTAAGGTTCCTCCAACATGCCATTCTGCTGTTTAACTGAAGAAACTAAAGTGCAGTGCTACACTAAGTTGAATACTGTGCACATCCCATGATGCAAATGCAGAGCACCAGCATGGGGAACGACACTTTTGGCTACCCCACAATTTCCACATCTTACCAAGGCCTGTGGAATCCACACCTCCTGACAACCTGCTAACTGGTGTTTTCCACAGCTACTTAAACACATAGGCTGTAACTATTTTCTATATGTTACAAGAGATTTTTCACTTGAGTCAAAGCTGCTACAAAATATTGCTAAATATAGCAAAATATTCTCACTGTATAGATGGTTAAGTGTATCCACAGAGCAGGCAAACAAATTTCTTCATGTCTACCCTGCAGACATCCTGCGACAATTCTCTCTCCCACACTTGTATTTCAACGAATTCCATCCCACCTCCCCAGGTGAAGAGAATGATAAGTATTCTGGGCTCCCAATATGCCATTGAATGTAATTAAATTTGTATTTGATAGTTTCAGGATCAATAAGCAGTAAGAGATCACTGCTACCTCCCTCCCTAACATGTGAGAAGGGGAAAAGAATGGAAAAAAAAAAAAAATCAAGAAACCTCTAACATATATAGATATACTTATACAACATATGTATATTTTATTCTGTTGTAGGAATACTTAAACTGGGTAGAAAAAGGAGGTTCTCTAGGTCATATAAGCACTTTCACTGTTGGGACAGAATTTGCAAGATAGAAACAA